CTTAGTGAGGCGGTCAACCACAACCATTATGCAATTGAAATTTTTAAATTCTGCCAATGGACCAACAAAATCTACTGAAAGGTCGCGCCATCTTTGATCTGGGAGAGGGAGAGGTTTTAGAGCTCCTTGATACTTTAAACGAGACACTTTATTTCTCAAACAATTGTGACAGTTTTTCACAAATCGTTCTACTTGTTGGGAGAGGCGTGGCCACCAGTAGTGAGTTGATATAGTGTGGTATAGAGCATTCTTTCCAGGGTGGTTCTTTTCGCAGCTATTGTGAGCGGTCTGTATAAGTAGGAGCCTCAGTTTGTTGTCAGGCACAAAGAGTCTATCTCGGAAATAAAGACGGCCGCTACGAACCTCACATTCAGAGAGTGAGATGTCTTTTGAGTGAGGGACTCCATTGGATTTGGTTAGTTCTGCGATTATTTTTGTTAGCCATTTGTCCGCTTTACTCTTGTAACCTTGGTCAAATAAGTTGGCAATCTTTTGATCTAGTGGTACTTCAGAATTTTCCACAAGTGTACTTGATGATAGATTTGGGACCGTGTTAGAGATGAGTTTAGGCCGATTCTCTGTATCATTTAAAACTTCTACAACAGACTCATGGAGGTTTTCAGGGGTAAGGAGAGTTTGCCTTTGGTACTGTATTCGGGGGTCAGAGTTGTTACTTGGGATGTCTTGAGAGCGTCGGGTCAAACTATCTGCTTTTGTGTTATCTTTTCCCGATCGAGGCATGATGATAAAGTTGAATTGGGATAGAAATTCACTCCATCGAACTTGACGTCTAGAAAGCTCCTTTGTAGTCATGAAGTACTGGAGGTTGTGGTGGTCTGTTAGGACGGTTATCGGGTAATTGGAGCCCTGGAGTTCGGCCCTCCACCCTTCAAAGCATCTAACAATTGCTAGAAGCTCCTTATCATAGATCTCGTAATTGCATTCCGCGGTCTCAAGTTTCTTTGACATGAAGGCGACTGGATGTAGGTCACCGGTATTATCCTTTTGAGACAAAATTCCTGCAGAGACGAAATCAGATGAGTCTGCTTCCACAAATATTTCCTTTGAGGGGTCAAAGTGGCGCAAGACTGGGGCGGAAATAAAAGATCTCTGGAGAGACTCAAATGCTTTCTGGCATGTATCAGACCAGAAGAAGCTTACATCTTTCCGCGTGAGTGATACGAGGGGTCTGACAATCTTTGAAAAATTTCTGATAAATTGCCTGTAGAAGTTGGCAAATCCTAAAAAGCCTTGAATATCTTTAAGGCACGAGGGGGGTCTCCAATTAACGATACATTGCACTTTTTGTGGATCCATCTTTACACCTGTGGTGGAGATTATCATACCCAGGTATGTTACTTCTTGAACTTCGAATTCGCATTTCTTAATGTCGCAGTGTAGTCCGGCTTTACCTAGAGCATCAAGCACCATATTGACATGCGATCGATGCGAGAGTCGGTCCTCAGAATAGATTAGGATATCATCAATGTAAGCAGTGCAAAAAATGTCGAGAAACGGGCGTAATACTTCGTTGATACGAGCTTGGAACGTAGCCGGCGCGTTGGATAGGCCAAAAGGCATCACTAGCGTTTCAAATAGGCCATATCTTGTATTAAATGCCGTCATCCACTCCTGGCCCTCTGAAATTCTGATGTGGTTAAAAGCCGCAATGATATCTAGCTTTGTGTAGTACTTGGCATTGCTTAGTTTAGAAAGAGTTTCTTGTACGAGTGGAAGGGAATATCTATTTTTGATAGTGATCGCATTTAAGCCTCGATAATCGACACAAAATCGTGAGCCACCTCCCGGTTTTTTGGCAAATAGGACTGGTGCGGCTGCTGGAGATTTATTGGCGCGTATAAAACCTTTCGTGAGCTGTTCATTTAGATATTTTCGTAATACTTGGAGTTCATCGACAGACATATTATAAAGAGGGCCATGGGGTGGTGTCGTACCGAGTTGGAGTTCGATTTTGTGGTCACAATCTCTGTGAGGTGGAAGTGTATCAGCACTATTGTAGTCAAATACGGGCAGATGCTGGTGGTACTGTAATGGTAGTTTCTTTTTAGGGTCCGGTCGGTCTTTAGTCTGGAGAGCTACTTGAATATCTTCAAGCGAAAAGCCGGCCATATGCATATCAGCAGCTCTATGACGAGAAGCTGTTTGAGTTTGGAGTTCATTGTAAAAGGGTTGTAGCTCATGAAACATCTTTTGCATAGGTGTGGGGCTGGTAGGAGGATTTACTGAGGGTAAATCCGGCGTTTGGGAGTCAACCCTTACACCCAAGTCCCGTAACCTCTTATCGACTTCATAGAGGGATAGAGAAAATATTTTAACATTGGGTTGTTTAGAGAGGGTTTGGAAAGCGGTAGCTCCGACTTTCCTCGGGAGTCCTTTACTATATCCATTTAATTCGCAGTTTATAGTTGAAAGATGGCTCTTAAAGCTAGGGACGGTTATCTGGCGTGTGTTTGATTGAAAGCAATGTGTCTTACAATATTCTGAATTGAAAGAGACGACATCCTGTGCCCAATTGACTAAGGGATTATGTTTTCGGAGCCACTTACGGCCAAGGATGAGTTCATACTTGCCAAGATTTGTTAGAAAAAAAGTTATTGATTCTTTGTGGCCCATGATATCAATTTTTATTGTTGTAGTGTGTGTTATACATGCAGCTAATGAACCATCAACAAGGTAGAGTTGGCGAGGGAGAGAGAGTACAGTGAGAGGGAGGTTTCTTTTTTGCGCAGAGTCAAGATCATAGAAATCGTCGGTTGCACCACAGTCTAGAAATGCGTGTGAGGCGAATTTATTTTTGTTTAAAACTATAGTACAGGGGAGAAGAAGATGATCTTTGTGAGGAGCTGAAATTGATGATATTACCAAATCTTTCACACTAGTTTCGCCTGAGATATCTTTTTCCCAACTTGTAAAAAATTTCAAATTTTCGTACGAATGACCCTTAATTGGTCCCTGATCGCGACGCTGATCAGAGGCTAGACTTTTTCCTCCTCGATGACTGTCTTGTTATCCCGAGACTTCTTCTTACCCTGATTCCAACGTGCTTCAGCACAAACCCGAGCTCGGTGGCCAGGATCATAGCACCAGCTACATAAATTATTCTCAAAGCAATAGTCGCGCTTTGCAAGCTTTTCTGCTTCGTTTCGTGGAATGCGATAGTTTGTAGCGTCTCTTGTGGTCCAAGTGATATGAGTAGAAGCTTTTGAAGCACTGAGGTCCATAGGGTCACCCCCAGCGGCATGATATTGGGCATTCATGGGCCGTAAAGCTTGAAAAGAGCTAGTGAAACTTGGTTTATTCTTTGTATAGTTTGGGTTAGAAGAACGGAGTACAGCATCGATATGACGGACTTCAACTAAGTAAGAGCAGAGATCCGCGGGCATTTCCTGACGTATCATTAACCTGTTTTGAATTTGGCTTACAATTAATGGGTGAAGTGAGTCGTAGAAATGGTTTATCAAAGCATCATCAGAATGGTCAGTTTTGTGGGCAATTTCAAGCCAATCAGAAATATGGTTAGATGTTTCTTTCTGGCCCTGCTTGGTAAGTAAAATTTGGCGGCGAGCAGTGTTGCATTCATCTACATCGGCGAAAGCTTGCTCCAGTAGTGTCAGCATGGCGTCGGAAGAAGAGAGGTTGATTGTGCCGTCTCTCTTTATGCTGTGTGCTATGGTGGAGTATGCTTTGCCTTTGAGTCGAGACACTATGTATGACATCTTGCTCTGTTCAGATGGGTACCAATCAGCATTGGAGATAAATTTCATGTTAACCTTTTGGATGAATAGTGGGAGTTCTTTGCGTGATTCAGAACTTTCAGCAGAGAAGACTTCGGGATCCGGGTATTCAGCAGATCTTTGGGAACTATGAGTAGTGCCTTGGGCAAAGTTAAGAGCTTGCTGTTGCAGTTCCTGATTTTTTTGCTGAAGTAGGGCATGTTGTTGTTGGAGTTGAGAACTAGAGGCAATTTGCTGTTCGAGATGTTGTACTTGCTGTTGAAGGACAGAGTTCTGCTGCTGTAGTTGTGAGCTAGCAGTAGTTGACACTACCTTTTTCTTTTGAAGCTTAGCAACTGTCTCCGAAAGCTCAAGATTTTTTTTCGAGTAGTACGTCGTATTCATTCTTGTGCTTGCTGAATTGAGCATCAAGCTGGATGTAGGAGTTTGCCAGGGTCATGATCTCTTCGCCGAGCTGTGTGTTGTCGACAGCCCCATTGTAACCCTGCGTGGCAGTGGCAAAGAGATCAGCGTTCGGTACGGAACAGAGGAGAGGGAATCTTTGAACAAATAGAGCATCCCGACCGTTAAATTGGTTGGGAAGAGTAGAATTAGTCAGCTGAGCGTATGGAATATCAGCCCCTTCGAGATTCCAGGGGTTGGTTTCCATATTTCTTCAAAATGTTACAATGTGATACAGTCTTAGGATTGAGTTGATTAGCTAGACTTTGCTAAAAGCTCAAGTGTAGTATTTACGCGCTAGGGCAGTAAATTGTAAAATGTTGGTAGACAATATGTCAAGGTATGGGTACGTGGAAGATTGACGAGGTCAAATCTGGTGAATGAGATTGTCTACAAGGAGGAAAGGTGGTCCACCTGAGGCTAGAGAGTAACTAAATACAGACGCGTTTGCGCTCTACGCGATTCCCTAATCACACGTGACCCTATCTAAATGCAGCAATACCCTAACAATAATCTTATATGTTGAAGTTATATATATATATAGAATAATATTGTGACATAGTATCTGAATAAAAATTTCCGGTTCCTTAAATTTGCACAAGAAAGGGTAGTGAGGTAATTATTTTGAGGGTCCATGCAATTTTCTGCATTGATAAATTTATTATGGCTTCCTAGATCATTAATCCTCGGACTTGGACATAATTTAGCTTGCGTATTTCATAAGTAAGGGACCTTATCTATTATACAATAAACAGCGTGAATTCTTCCTCCTCATATGATCACTAAGAGCTAGAAAGTTTTTGGCTAATCATACATTCCGAGAGAGCCATAAGAAGCACGCAGTATTCCAAATTTCTTTTTAGGATGTTCATCAGGTGCACTAGTACCAAGAGAAATAATACTTGGATCCCTGTTAGGAAGAGGCGGTAAAACAGGTACTTCAAATTTTGGTAAAGGTTGTTGAGTTTTGATGTTAGATGTAAATATTGATTTTTCGAAACTCATAGATACAGAGTTACTTGTGTTAGGTAAAGTTTTTATTGTATCAACTGTTGCGGAAATTTGAGAGGAATTTGGAAATTTATTCTCTCTATGAATTAAAATTTTAGTACCACTGACATAATCCCTAATAGATTCCTGCATCTTTTTATAGAAATGGTGCGATGAAGAAATCGCGGACGAATATTTTGAAGAGGAAAGTTCTTGATATAGCTCAGAGGTACACCACGGAGGACTATTTGGTAGAAAGCTGAGAATAGAAGAGCGATATATGATAACAAGCTCTAAACAGACATTTCGGTAGCAGACAGAGTAGTCACGATGAAGAGCGCTGGCAATTTTACTGATAGTAAGCTTTGAGAGCTGTTGGCGTCCAGAGGCAACGGCGTGACATATTAGTGCTGCAATCTTTTCAGGAATTGATGAGTCAATTTGGATACCATTTGGGAATTGAGGAGATTCGTATCTACCATGAAATGGTTTATTCAGCGAAAGAATACTTGGAGTAGCGGGAGTAATTTGAGGCGTGAAAGGAGAGTCATCGATTTCATGTATTGGTTGAGAAATTGATGGTTCAGGAGTGTTATACTCTCTTTTTAGACGCATACGAGCCTTCTTGAAATAATTCCGAAACTGATCTGGTGACATATCAATACATTCCGTTCTAGCCACAGGTATACCGTGGTGAAGTTTGCATCCATCTCGAAGCCAGTTGAAGAACATGTGATTTCCCAAAAGAGAGCCTTTTGCTTTCTCCTTCGAATACTCGTTGAGCATAAATGTTGAATACTTGATGGCAATATCTATGGCATTCTTGAAGAATAATCCTCGACCGTCGACACGAACAGTGTACTTGATTCTTTGTTAGCAATTATTCTGAAGAGAACCACGAGATTGCTATACAAAATTAAGAATAGCTGTCATGTGATTATAATCAATACTGTATCCATCTTCTGATCCATATTCTTCGTAGTGAAATAGAGCTACATAAAAGATTCCAATGGCATGCATCATCTCGGTGAAGATCTCGTGATATTCACGTGATGTCCTAATCTCAAGATGACCAAGATGTGTTGGAACCCAAAGTGTATTGGGAAATGCAATGCTAAAGCTAGAGAAATCGCCTTCATGGATGATCCATTCTCCATTAAGAGTAGAGCCATCCTGATAAACTATTACTGAAGATGATGGTCAACCAGATGTTTCAAAGTTTGAAGCCACTTACAATGGTCCTCTTGATCATTATCAACAACGATTCGACCTTGGAGACGAAGCTTGCGATTTGACTTGGTTTGAGTAAGAATATTGGCTCGTGGTGCGTTATTTGATAAGAATAGAACTGTTACCTCCTCAACAACGTAGAGGTTCTCAGAGGCGTTATCGGAGTTTTTTATTACATCATGAAGCTGATAAAATTTCGATGGGGTTTTCGAGGATCTTAGCTCTCTGATTACTTGCGAATCAAAAGATGCCTCAGAAGTTGGCGATTCCATTATGAAGTCCACATATGAGTAGCGATAACAGGGCTTAAATTATTCCGGATACTTGCGACTTGCATCTAAGTCTTTCACTTGTTTAGCAATTAATATCGTTTGATGTCAGTTTATGTATATTTTTTTGGTCATAGGCAGGTATGTTTATCATGTCCATGCAATTCGAGAGTGGTTGAAGGCGAGAAGTTCCGAAAAATTCTAGAAAACAACTTATTTCCTTGAATATTATAGTTCGGCGCTAAAGCCGGATAATTATCTGGCAGATTTAATTGATTCAAAAGTATCAAAGTAATGTCTTCCCTGGGATTTGACTATGTCCAAAATTTAGATAGAAGATTCTAGTTTTGATACATAACAAGACGCAGATAATGCCGTACTTTTCACGTAGCTAGAAATTGACTTGTTAGCTAGAATATATCAATAGGTCCTATCTGAAATGCTGTTAAACAGTGTAGCCCGCAAGGTTTTTTCGACTGTAAATATTTAGAATTAAAACCCTGTGTCATGCAGATTCAGCTAAAATAGACCAAAAGTCGCGACGGATAGTCACGTGACCTTGCGGATAGTCTTGACCACGAGCGGAATCTTTTGAAGTAGACTCTACTTTTGCTATTTACAGGAAGACTAAAACACTCATAGCATGTACTAAATTTTAATAATTAATCTAGACATCTGAATTTGAATTCGAATTTGATCATGTTTTCCTGATTTGGCACCCTGTGGGCCCATGCAGGTGTCTACCAAACTTTCTAATTTACAGAGGAAACCTTGCAGTAAAAACTTACTTAGCTATCTGATTGGATTCTGCGCCATTATAATCTTACCTCAAGGAAGTGCACTTACATTGTTGTTGCTAGTGTGGATTCCTCCTTTGTCGAGTGTTACCATATTTCCCTTTTCGTCTGAATAACGCCTCGATTTCCCCAGTCATCCTAAACTGCTCTAGCCATCCTTCCTTTTTAATCCACTGCGCGGTTCTAGTCATATATCTGACTATATTTAAAATAGTTTCAAAGGATAGGGCTGTCGATTTTTGTAGCAACTCGCCTATTCCCTGTGCTCATTTTGGACAAGACATCACCATGTGCTTCATGTTTTGGGTCGGACATCCATATTTGAACCGTGATTTTCCTACTCCTGATGCATTCCTTCGATATTAATGAGCATTGATACTAAATTACTTACTTATCACTTGTGTGTCAATGATTCTCTGGGATAATGGATATGTTATTCTAAGAGTTATTCCTGTCCTAAGTTTAATCACATCTATCGCCTGAAGTGAACAGTATGTGTGTGTGTGTGTGTGTGTTTTATTGTACTACTTGAGTCTATGACTATCTAGCACATTGGGCTCCTCTCTGACCCAGGCCACACCTTGTACAGTGCTCCTATCCTCTTTTGTTACTTGAAAGATCATTGATATATTCCCCTTGATGAATAGCCATTCAGCTCAGTATTTACCCGTGGAATTCAGCCACCTTTTCCACGGAACCTTCTACCCAAAAAAATAAAAATGGTAGCAATGGAAACTGCGTGCGCGGGAAAAAGTCTCAAAAAACCTGCAGCCCCAGCCAGGCGAGGCCTAGACACCGGGACCACATGAGGTGCGCATATTCATCTATATCTCCCTTCTTTGTAACAGTCGAGGTCGACTTGATCCAATCCACCATCTCCGTATCGGGTGCTGGGTACGCTCCGGAAACTCATCGGATGGCTTTTCCTCCATGATCAAGGGTGGGTGACGAGTAGGGCTCCGACCCTACCATCTGATCTGATCGTGGTTAGCTTCATGATAGTGGTGATAGGGGAATGTGTTGAGAGATGAAGAGGATACAGACCGCGAAAGCGATTGGGAATCCTCTTCGAAGTGAGGACTTTGTTACTCAATCTCGGCTCTGCAGACTCTACAGTGAGAGCTGGAGGTTCGTAGGGGACACCACTGACAGGTGTTGAGAATAGTCCCCCGAAGTGAACAGTAAAAGTTATCATCTTCGAACTTTGTGATACCATTGCAACAACAGAGAAGGATAGTGGGAGAACTTTATGGAAGGACTCAATTGGAATAATACTTTTCAGTAAATTTTTTTGTTACTTAAGAATGATAAATTATTTGGAGGGCAAGGTTGAACACCTGTGCGTGGTGTCCCCTCCAAACCTGGGAGTGAAATATTCTCCTAGAGACAATTTCAGTCATGTTTCGCAATACGATAAGGTCGGCGAACAAGGCAATTATTCAAATTACTCCACGTCGTTTTTTCGCTCCCAACGAGATCGATTCCTACCTAAGTCTCATCAAGTCAACAGGTACTACCGAGTACATCCTCATTCCAATGACTACACCTATCGTCGACCTTCTCTAGCCTCAGCTGACCACTAAACAAATTCCCACACCCATATTTATACCCAACTAAGGAAACAAAGCGTGGCGCACTAATCTGGAAGATAGCTCTTCGGGATGGACGTGAGAGAGATCGGGACAAGCTCATAAGATGATGAAGACGGATGTAATCTCGACGAGCGTGAAATTTGGCATTTAGACAAGGGGTCCTACAAATCGAGATTTGTGCGCGCCAAGTCTTCGGTTGCGAGAATGCAGGCGACACTAGATTATTATTATTAATTCATTTCATTGTCTTGTCTGAGTCTATGACTATGTAGGACATGCAGGTCCTCTCTGCCTACAGGCCAAGGATACCTATACCAGTAGTATATCCCCTCCTATGCCTCCCATACAGCCCCCCTCAAACAGTACCACCCCTCACAAGTCCTCATTCGATCATACACTAAGAGGAGCCCTTTGCCCTTCATTATCTCTGCTCTCCAGCCAACGAAACGATGGCCGTTTGCGGGTGTATGGCAGCCGGGAAAATTCGCAAAAACCACTGGGTGCCGAGCTCTTTTAATACCGACATTAGGGATAAATCCAAAGACATATTGCCCCTTCTGAAGCGTTCGAAGAGGCCGGCCAGCTGGGCGCTGCAGACTTGTGGGTACCTCGGGAAATTCACCCTCTGCCTTTCTAGCCTCCTTCCAACTCCTTCCCGAAGGTCGTGCCGAAATGTCAGAAAAGTCTTGACAGAGCGTGTTTGCTGTATAGTAGCTTAGCCTAACTTCTTTTGTACCGTCCAGGGCGCTGGGGAGTGCCGTTGACTCATCGACAGAAGAAGCCCTCCTGGCTAATTAGCCGAAATCTCGGTCTTGGCGCCCACAAAAAATCCAAAGTTGAAAACTCCTCGAAAATGTCAGTCCCAGCATGGTCTTCAGGGACCTTTTTCCCCTCTCGCTCCACATCTCAGCCGCTTGTTCTTCCTCAAGATGTATAACCCCATTAGAGCAGCAGTCCCTCATAAACCAAGACCCCAACTTTGTATATTATGACTTAATTTCCTCCTTGCGGGTATACGCAGCGTCGTAAATTTATAGTGAGTGATGGCCGGTGATGAATGAGGCAAGCTCCTGTTTGCAATTGGGGTGATGCCTTTATCGGTCGTCGAGGCGAAGTGATATGTGCTTAGATCGGGGTTGAGGACTCAGAAGATAATGATGAGTGCTGCATGGTTGAAAAGTCATCAAATGGAGATATACATGTGTTTGCTTTCGACTTCGATTCGGATGCGATTCTTCTTGGCTATCCCAGATACGCAGAGCATACTGAGCAATTACACCGGCACCACTGGAAGGTGAAGAATTCGTCTTTGCCGGCTGGCGACACTAGAAACACCGCCGCAAATGGATGGTGCTGTGGTACATCATCTTAGCCGGTCTTCCAAGCAGAGTCTGGAAAGCTTGGACACATATCCCACTCGAGACAGGAGATCCCTGGTTCTAATCCGGTAGACCACAACCACATTTCTCGCGGTGCAAGTTTACACGGATGACGTGGGCATGCTTGGATAATCAAAGGTATTGAGATTCCCTTTGGTGGGTACTTACCGAGGAGGGTCGAATGTTTATGTAAGCAAACATACCTCATAGTGGTATTTGCGAATGAAATCCAGAGTATGAGTGTTTCCAACGTCAAAAGAGTCATCTTACATGTATACGTGGCACTGGTTATGTGTTAGAGCTAAATAGCTGAAAAAATATTAAATGATTTAAAAAAAGAATGATATATTTATGAATCGTCTCGAACTACACTTGCAACGCCCGAACAATATTGTCTAAAAAGGGCGACAACTTTTTAGATTTCACGCAGATATACCATTCCATCACCATAAGAAGACCTAACACGTATCAGCTTCTCCTACATATACTTTGAGATGATAACTCTAATGCGACCTTAAAACACTTGCAAGGGAAATTTTCACAGTAATAACTTTATCAGTTGACAAATCCAAGACCGATTCATGGGCATTTTCAGTGGGTATGAAGAACAAGATTCAATTCTTATTAGCGATTTAGCTTGTAAATTCGACATTTAAATGGCCTTTCGCAGCTTAGATTTGGTTGAAAAAAAGTCTGCAGTCAACTTTATTTGGTGGATTATGGGCTTGAACGAGTTTTGCTCGATTATTGATCAAGAAAACGGTTAAAAAGATGTTTCATCCCGATACAAAAGAAATATATGGATGGACCTCATTTTATCAGCAGGCTGTATCTTAAAAACCGAAGTACCTCATACTTTTCATTAATCTAAGACTTACCTTTGTTAGAAGGTTCTTGGCCTGCTACTCATAATCAACTGATGCACACCTTAATGAGGAAAGCTATGATATGGATGACGTGTAAAAATATGTAGGAAGTGAGAAAATATATGTCGAGAAGACCAAACTCTCACGCAAGATAGAAGATCCCCATTGAAGACGACAACTTGGTGGTGTGATGGTTCGATGGTAGGTGGAGGTTCTATTATAGGACAACTCTGGGATGTATAGTGCGAGAGAGATATGAAGGTAAGGATATCTAGAGTTCCAATGTATTGTGGTCAGCTACGGAAAAGGATGGGGTCGCCCAGTGTTCGAGACATACTGCCCCTCTAATTTATCTAGCTACCTTTGTTA